AGATGATCTAAATCAACCTGATCATGTAGTTCCATGTTGGGTTTATGTGGCCTTTAAAAGCCTTATCAGAGTTTGTATGAGCATTGTATATAGTGAAACATAAACTCAGTGGGAGTGTGGCCCTCTTGTGGACCATGCTAAGAAAATACAATTTCTCGATACTCAAACTAGGTTTGACGTGCTAGGCGAGCAGAGTTGAAAAACCCAAGGCACCTGGACATAGAGATGAAACTGATTAGGGTTTAGTGGGTTAGCCCTTGATGAGGTCGGAGAATGCTCAGATAAGAGCCTAGGGGCTATGTGACCCTTGTGTATGATGAATAGTCTATAGAGACATGACTAAATCATCATCATTGTATCATCACACAACATACACATAAAATAGTCATACTGAGATAGTAATCTATCATTTAGGGTGAAGCGTGTACATGTACAAGAGATTATCCCTATACACTATAGAGTCATGGTTGAATCATGGTCTAACGAATCATGTTTTGTCTCTAGGGGAGAACCTGAAATTCACAGACTGAGATTATGTCCCCTAACCCATTGATTGACTTTGGTGGTCCAATCATGCGCCCCTGCAGTGGACTATGGGTCATAGGAACTGCTGGGTCAGTTTAAGAAAGATAGTGTGGATCGTAGTCCAAAGTTGAAAGTGGATTGCTCCAATGCGCTGATTAAATCTTAGACCTATTCGGATCCGATTCCCATCAAATTTAATGTAATTTAATTAATTTTATGTTATTTGATATTTAGAATTTTTATTTGAATTTTTATGAATCTTTTGATATTTAAATTTTGTCATTTGGATCTATAAATCAAGATAAATTCATTTCTAAAGTTTTAAATAAACTAAGAAGTTTAAAAAAATCTAAAAATCAATTTTTATTATTTCTAAAATATGTGGGACCCTCCATAATTATTAGAGGCCCATTTAAATCACATAGACAATTGGGTGGGCCCCATGAGCGGCCAACAAAGGGTGGCTAAGGTGGGGCGTGGCCCCTTAGATTTCTTGAAGAAAGAGAGAGTAACCTATGTGGGGCATGCCCCTTAGAGAGGCTAGAGAGATAGATACTCTACTTTAGAGAGAGTAAGTAAGAGGAATAGAAACAAGGGAGAAGAATGATCCTTTTTATAGATTTTTTATGCACTAGGGTTTGTCATAAAATCGTAGAAGCAAATCTTGACCGTCGATTTAAGGAGACTTATGGGGTAAGAGATGTGAGCTACCTATTCCTTATATCTACCATCAAGAAGCTAAAGAATGTACTAGAACCTTATCTTTCCCTTCCTAAACTTGTTCCCGTCAAAAAAGTTAAATAAAGAAATTATCTATTTACTTTCTCTATTAGTAAATATTCATTCCTTATTTTTCAAATCAAATCTTCTTGATTAATAAGATATTCTAAAATTCAATATTATCATTCCTTAATGAAAGTAGGCTTCTCTCCAAAAATAGAAAACCAATTAGCATGGAATGTATCGCACCATATTTAGCAAGAAAAGGCAATCGCCTATGGGTAGGGCCTCTCTCTCTCACACAAACTTGAGGTCCATTGGAGTTTTACTTGGTGTAGGACATCAAACCCAAGCAATAGTTCTTTATTGGGTAAATAAGATCCTAACAGTTTGTGCTGGATAATAAGTTTGGGAAATAGCTTTATCAAAATGGGTTTGCTAATCTGGTTTATTGAAAAATTTTCACCATTAGCTGCTCAAAAAGTTTGGTTACATGTTTCCCAAAACTGCTTTGGTAACAAATCTAGTTTTAAGATACTAGCTGATGCTCCTGTATCAAAAAAGGCTGTAATGGACAAAAGTTTGGCATAATGTTCAGGAAGTATCTGGATCAAGGCTATTGGGGTTCGTTGAAAGGGTAAACTGGCTATGTCTGCTTGATCTTCCTGTGGAGACAATATCTTTGAAATATGAGTGTTGCGTCTTCAGAACATGCAATAGACAATAGGGTTTCTGAAGTTTGCTCATCATCAAGAGAGAACACAGATTTTAAATCATCATCAATTTCTTCATCCATAACTTGTGAAAGGAAGTGGATAATCTTCTTCTTCTTTTTCTGATTAGGGCAAGTTTTTGCAAAATGCCTGTTTGACCACAGACATAGCATCTGTCTCCTTTCTTGTGTTTATAATTCCTGAACCTTGATCTTCTGAGAAATTTAAATCTCTTGAATTTTTTTCTTTTTCCTTCTGTACTTGAGGTTTTTGTCATCTTTCCATTTAGGTGGACAAGCACACTGTTTTTTTGAATTACATTTGATCTTAAGATATGGTTTCTCATAAGATTTTCCCAAAAAATGCTTATTGTTTTTCGTTTCTTTGACAAATTCAACTTGGTTGCACAATCTTTCTAAGGCATAGAGAACATATTGATATAGTTCACCAAAACTGGTGTTTTGAATGGTAAGCCCCTGATTTTCCATAGTCTTTGTAGCTTCTTTGCCAAGAGTAGGAGGTACAGATTCAAGATAAAATTGTTTGAGATTAACATCATCAATTCCTCCTATTTTATGGTACCTTTTATTCATCTCTGAAAAGTGTTTTTCAAGATCTTGTCTTTTGAATGAACAACATTTGAGTTGAAAAAACTCTTCTCTTGCTACTATTTGTTCATGTTTCACTGGACCTGAGAATTCAGCAACAAGATAATTAAGAAATTCAATAATGGACTCACTGTTTCTCAACTGCATTTGCTTGTATTTTCCAAGACTTATGTACCAGTTGAAAAGTCTTCCTCTTAATCTAACAATGACTTTGGAAATTGTACCAGCTAAAGAATTAGCCGGATTAAGCATTTCAAAATGCATCCATCCTTGGATTTCTCTAAATTTGTCATTCCATCTAGATGGTGGAATGTCATCAACTGTAAAGCCTTTGGAGGAGTCATCATATGTGGGGATTGGTTGGGTTTCTTTGTATGATTGGGTGGTCTGAGGTCTTCTTCCATTAGAGGGTCAAGTTCAAGTGGTTCTTCTGGAGGATTCATCATCAATAAAGATTCGGAATCCATAAAAGAAGAAGTATTTTCAACAAATGTTCCAGATGTATCAGTCATATCATCTGAAGAAAGGGATGCCCATGCTAGGCTAGGTTTATTTTGAATCTTTCTCATGGGTTCTAAATCAAGCTAGGTTTTGGTTATGTGATTTTGTACGCAGTAAAGGGATCATCCCTAGCTAGTAGTTTTCTCCCTACTTTCTTGCTTTCTATCTCGCATAATGATAAAGGCAAGGGGATTGAATTAGGCCTAAGCATTTAGGCTTTAGGTGGGTGGTTCTAGATTGGGATCCATGTTCATTGTTTGGGTTTTGCCATAAGAATGAGAAATCAAGAGACCGATCAAAGATCCCGAGCACCATCGGAAGGAAGAGACTCGGTGTGGGGTATACTAAACCTGATTGAGGTAATCTCCGGTACTCTTTGTTTCTTTCATATTTATTTATTATATCTTTTATTCTCAAACATAAGTTGTCTTTTCTTTGTTATTGAAAGAAATGTTTTGAATGACTTCAAGTTCTTGAGATCCTATTGTATGCTTTTCTTTTCTTTTATTTGAAGTTATTATATTGTAAAAGGACCACTTGTAAGTAACGCAGACTATGAAGTAAAGAAAAAGAATAGAAAAAAAAAGAAAAAAATTATTATATACTCCAATTAGATCACACAAGTCCTTTCATTCCCAACCATTATATTTTTTGTTAACTTTTTAAAAAAAAAAAATTAGGAACAATTCTAATGCTAGAGAATTGATCTGATCGCCAATCAATCACCGATCTGGATTGGCAATTCTCCTATCCGAACGTGATTTCTAGAAGGCTGGTTCACCTGGTCCGATTTATATATCCATATTTCTTTTTCTCATCTACACGTAAGTTGTTTTGAGTCTACAACCAAGCTTACAACAAGTGCCTTTCTTCTATTTGAGTTGTCAAAATGAAACAAAAAGTTTGAGCTAGTTATAAGGAATTTGAAGGATGAGATAGATTCATTCTAAGGAACTGGGTCCACCAACAAGATCTCTGGGGCATGTAATTTATAGTTTCGAAGGCTTTATAGAAATCTTTTTATTAGGGATTTAATCTTTTGACCTTTGACCTCCATAAGTTCTAAAGCCCATATAGAATATATTTATTTTTTTCTTTCTTTCTTTTTAAGGTTGGCAACTAGGTTGAAGAGGTTGCATTCCAAAGTTTCAGGGCTTAGCATGAGCATAAAAATCTTTTGAAAAAGGTCTCATTTCAAGTAGTTGAATTTTATTTTATTTTTTTTCGGGCCGCGGTGATGGGTTAGTGGGGGACGGATGATGTTAAAGTCCCAGAGATAAAGAGGCATTCCAGTTATCCTTTAGAGCAAGAAGGCTTCCAAGGTTTACTTTGGGCCAAAATAGAGTGGACTGGGCCCTTATTTGGCTGGTTTCGGGCCGCTGGGTGCTTACGGGTTTATTCTAGTTTTGTTGCACGTGATTAAAGTGACAAGAATTTGTACAGGTCTGGTCCACATTTGGGACAATTCTAGTGCATCGACAGTTGAGATGTTCCTAGTGTGAACTCCGTTGGTTAAGGCATTGACAATTGCAACAACACTACATCCCAAGTTCGAAACTACCACTTAACTAACCATCCCCCACCCGCAAAACCCACCAAAAAAGGAAGAAGAAGAAGAAGTATTGGGTGTATGTAAACCAGGGGCACCTGCTCTTTGCCTGCTTACCATAAAAGTCAATGTTCTAAAACGTATTTATTTCCCTCATGCAACAGAGAAAACCCCATATAAATGGCAAGGTTGCAATAGTCTTCTCACGTATTCATTAACTTCTTCCATCTCATCCACAGAGGTGCCCCAACTAGCTGCATTTGCGTTTGTGCAAATTCATGTAATGTACTTCCCAAACTGCTTTTCAATTCGTGCATCTTACAATAAGAGCATGCTTATGTGTGCATGTGTAACCTCTATTACTTTTCTTTCATCTCAAATTAATTTGCAACAAAATTTTCAGATCACCATTTTCATATATTTCTCAACTGAATTCTGAACACTTGAAACAGGATCGATGTATAACAAACATTAAATAGGAAAACCGACGTCACAATACCACTCGAGTGCAGAAAACTTTAGGTGCACACCCATCACACTATTGGAAGTTGTGCAATCTTTTGGCAGAGGCAAGGGTATTTGATAGAAGCATAGCAATGGTCATCGGGCCCACTCCTCCAGGAACTGGAGTTATAGCTGAAGCAATCTTGCATGCCTCTTCATAACATACATCACCCACCAGCCGATATCCTCGTTGACTGGTTGGATCCTGTAGAATGAAAGCAAGCATTTAGTCATGACTCATGAATGGAGAAATGGGCAATCTGAGTCCCTTGGCTTTGGTTTAGTGAAAAGACATTGCATGAAAGGGGTGATGGATTTGAAGTTCGACACAAAAACAAACCAAGCTATTCAATTCATGTCTTCATATGAAGAACAGACAATGTGATAAATACCACTCAAACCATACAAATTAACACTTAAAAAGTAAAAAATAATGGAATCAAGAAGATCTCTCTACAATGTTGTCTCCCAAGAGATTTTCAAATTTGGGGTTTTTTTCCATATTCTTTATAGCATGAAACAGCTGATCGAAGTAAGAAATTGATAACAATAAAAGAAAACACAATAATATATTTAACATGTGAAAACAAAAAAAGAAAATAGAATGAAATACTAACATGTGAGAAAAAGAACATAAATGTGTGTGTGTTTTTTTTTCTTTTCTTTCTTCCATGAGTGGGATAAGCGTCACCAGCATCAGGAAAACCTCAAGCTTTTAACTCTTAATGACTTTCATATAACATTCTCTAGAATTTTTTGATATTTAAGTTTCATACTTTTATTTTGCTGAAACTTCTAATAACCTACATTTTTCATATATGTGAACATTTTATTTTAATCAAAAGGGCATGGTTATTTTTAAGCATAAATGTTATCTAAATGATGCGAATTCTAAGAAAAAATCAGAAAAAATATTGGTCTTAGGGAGAACAAATTTTTGGAAAACCTGGCAAGATTTTAAGAGAAAAAAGTGGCAGCATTTATCACTTTGGGAATAAAGCCTGGCATCTCTTTCCGTATGTGTATATCAAACAGAAAATCCAAGGTCTGCAAATATAGCTAAAATGCGCACATCCACTGCATTAATCCCAACATCAATCACTACAGCACCAGGCTTTATCCAGTTGCCCCTCACTAAGTTTGCAACTCCAACAGCTGCGATGACAATATCTGCCTCCCTTGTGATTTCTGCAGGATTATTGGTCCTGGAGTGCACAATGCTCACAGTTGCATTATGCCTCTGCAAAGGTAGTATCAGATGATGTAAGTCCCACTACTAGAAAGAAGAAAATAAGAACTTACAAATTCTTTGTCATGATTTATGAAGATACAAGTGGGGGTCACCAGAACCAACTCAATCACCAAACAATAAAATCTTGGGTTTGTTGATGGCTTTATCATTCCCATATTTTTTAGATGTTCTGAGTGTCTCAGTGGATGAATGAAATTCAGTTACCAATTAAGAAAAAAGATCAACAGATAAGGCAAGGGAAGATCTTATATATGTTGACTACATTCAATCCCATTAGCATAAATTAACAAACATTAATGAGTTAAAGAACTTCAAGGAAGTCAAAAATTAACTAGAAGATTTCTTTACAGAAAGATGTCTTATTTTTTTTTAAGTGGTCTTTTTTTTTTTGTGTTGGGGGCAATCTATAGCGAAAAACATCTTGTTTTTTCTTGTTTTTTGAATCTGAATCTACAGTGAAAAAGTTTTTGTTTTCTACCTGTAACAGAAGGGCAACAGGGGTTCCAACAATATTGCTTCGGCCAACAACTACTGCTCGTTTACCCTCAATCTTAATGCCAGACCGAGTTAGCAACTCTATGCAACCTTTGGGGGTGCATGGAACAAATAATGGTGCCCTGCCTTGCATAGCAAGCCGTCCTATGTTCAACTCATTAAAGCCATCTACATCTTTTTCAATGCTAACGGCATTCACAATTTTCTCTTCATTCATATGCTGTTACCAAACCATAGAAGTAGCAATACTCATAATTAAAAGAAGCCCAATCTAAAGCTGCACAAGATATTCACAAATAAAATGAATAGGAATTTCAAATTGAAAATACACCATAAACAATCACAAAGAGGCCAATAATGACATACTGTCTTATTTTCAGATAGAAAGATATTTCCTGGCTAGCTGTATGCGATATCACGAAGGAACAAATAGTATGCCATCAAATGGACACATCTATTCAAAAGCCATGGGGTCGAAAGTGTCAAAGAACGGTATATACCAGGAAAGAAACTGAGAATTCATAAGAAAAGAGAAGACATGGAAAGCAGAATACCACAAATCTACAATCACAAAATGAGAATTAGATTACTGTTGTTAAGTCACATCAGATGCAGGTGCATTTGCAACTACTAAGGGTTGATTATGCCCACATTGATCCATATGGGGACTAAAAGTGGGGCACCGGCAAGTCTCTATGCTTTAATAAATCGCCAATTTTCCCATGGAAAATGGTAGAAGCCGATACGTCTGAATATTTCAAGTGAAATGGCAATTCTTGACAAATTTATAATAGTATAATATTCAATGCATTTAAGCATGCATGTGCGTGCAAGCATGAGCATAATTTCATCTTAATATCATCAGATCATATGTATTAAATTTAGATAAATCCCTTAGGCCGTGTTTGTCATGTGGAACTTCAGTTGTCAGACAACTGAAGTTCCAACTTACTGGCCAAGGTCCCAATTTTGTTAGAGCCGATGTTTGAGGCATGAGGAGACCATCTCATGCAAAAACATGAAGTGTGGTCCTCCACCCCACCCCAGGAAGAGCAGCGCTTCATGTTTTTATTTTCGTTCGCTCACCCCAATCTCAAAACCCTAACACAGGGTTCTCTCCAAGACCTCTCTCTCCTCTTACCATGCCATCCTCTTCTCTCTCCTTGAATCCAACTACCTCCAATTAGCTGAAAATATTTTCTTCAAGCTCTCTTATTCAGGCGTCTCTCCTGATTCCAAGACTCACTCTACAATGATCCTTTGCTTTCTCAATGCCGCCAAAATTCAAAAGGCCATGAACCTCTCTCAAACCATGAGAGAGATGTTTGAAACCAAAACATACATTTCCAATAAATTGACTGTTGGACTCTTCTCAGTTGGTAGAGTTGAGGAAGCTGTTGAATTGCTCAATGAAATTAATCAAAATTCATGTGAAAAACCAGAAATTTTATAAATATACAGGTGCCACGGATGGTCTTTAATTCAGGTATCAAGCCAACCCCAATTGCTTATAATACTCTGCTCAATGGTTGCAGTAAAGAAGGAAGGGCCTTCGAGAGGTTTAACCTTTTACAAGAGATGATTGATAGGAAAGTTGATCCTGATTTCATTAGCCATCCAAATTTACTTCATGGTTTGTTGAAATGGAATGAAATCAAAATGGGTCTGCAAATTTACGATCAAACGTCAAGAATTGAGTTCGAACCATGTGAAAGAACCTTCGATAAGCTTGCTCAAGGTCTTTGTAGGCCTTCTTTGTGGAAAGAAATCCCTGCGATAGATGTAGAGAGTTTTTAGGAGAACTGGGGAATTGGGGTATGTACCATCTCCTCATTGTCTAATGATTCATTCTCTCTCTACAAGAGGAGAGATTGATGGAGAAAGCCTTGTCAATTCTAAGAGCAATTATCGAAAGTGGGCATCCTCCAAAGAGGATGACTTATAACCCTGTGATTAAGGTGTTTTGTACCATGGGGAGGGTAGATGATGCAAATGAGTGTGATGAAACTTACATTACACAAACAAGTCCTAGTAAAGCTCATACAACATCTTGGTTAAAGAATTTAATCGATTGGATCAGGTCTTTGATGCCGGTAAGCTTTGTGCAATTGTATTGAAGAGGGGTGTGTTCCTTATCAGCAACCAGCTGAAATTTTGGTGAAGGAAACTGAGTTTTGTGAAATTAGCACCAATTGATTACTAGATTTTTGACACTTATTGAGTTTATCCAATGCATCTGATGGATTACTAAGAATACAGATCAATTCCAAGAAACTATTAAGTGACATTAAGTCTCAGAGAGGGAAAACGGCTTTGCTCTAAGAGTAGGAGTATGACATGTAACACTTATGAAAGGGATTTTGACAAGGGGAAGAGACTGGATGATGCTAAGATCGTAATGGAAATTATGTTAGAGAGAGCATGCATCATCAGCAGCAAGGGGAAGCTATGGTGGTCATCGAAGGAGATTGCCTGACAGAGTGAGATCCTTAGTAAGCATATGAGGTCAAATGATTATTATGCAGGACTCACTGAGATTTCAATGCATAGTGTCGCTAACTTAAGAATTAATCAGTTTAATACCGGGTATTAAAGCAAGGACTCAGTTGGGGACTGGCCAGGCTTGCAGCCCGAGTCAAGCAACTCAACTCAGTCGAGTCTGTCAGAGACATCGTCACATCCTAATACACTAACAATACAATCTTGGGAACCATCATGACTTGGCTGGTTCCCATGGTCTTGGTTCTGGAATCGGCATGCTGTCAAGTCCAAGTAACTCAAACAAGTCTGAGTCGAACTTGCCGAGTTTTAAATTAATGGTTTACTCTGTAAAATCTTTGAGACTAGTGATGGATTAAATTTATGCCTAAATCATCAGAGTTTCACTAGTTTATGCTACTTTGCCTGTATTTGATGCAGCGCTTAGGTATGGGAGTCAAATTCTATTGCTTGGGTGACATTTGTTGAAAGATAATTGAATGATAATTTTCAGGCGAGAAGATAGTTGTTTATTTGGGAAGATTAAACATACGATCACAAGCATGGAATGCTTTTGAATTGATTTATGGAGATGTCAATCTGGGAATTTAAACAGGACTCAGGAAAGTGGCTTCTCAGTCAACCTGATTTTCCTTGTAGCAAACTTTTTTTTGTTTTAATTGTGTCTGAGTGCCATTTAAACAGTGTAATTTTGTATAGGATTTTCAGAACTATATTATTTGTTGCAGGTTTTGAGAACTTGAGACTGAGCATAAGATATCATATCATGGCGAATTGTCCAGAAAAACAATTGTCTTTTCTTCTTGTTCTTCTTCTTCTTCTTCTTCTTCTTCTTCTTCTTCTTCTTCTTCTTCTTCTTCTATATATATTGACTATGAGATCTGTGAATGACACACATTTCGTTGCAAGAACAAAATATGTCAACTCGAATAATCCAGTAGGAGTTGAAGTTGGGAAGTGCCTGAGTTTTTCTTTTTATGTATTACTTTTTTGTTTTGATTTGACTAACAGAGTGTTCTGTCTGGTTTGACAGAAGTTTGTCATGCTTAGTTGATGAGCTGGCTTCAATTTTCATGGCTGGCACACTCTAGAAAATTTTGACACAAAATTTGGTAGAACTTGTTGAGTTTTTTCATGTTCATTGTTTGACTGAGCGAGTCAGTCTTGGAACTACCAAGTTGGCACCTGAGCATGTGTTTTGAAGCACCGGTTGCAATATGATTTTAAGCAGATGAAAAGAGTCATTGCTGTTTTCAGCTAGGAATTTAAAATTGCAGGGCCTTCCCTTGAAGTCTGAAGACTTCTTCTAGTGTGGGAGAAATTTGGTTTCGTGAAAAGTGTTTGTATGTGCTTCAATGTCTAAAAGTGTTAACACAGTGTCCAAGTGTCAACATATGTGGACATGTGATGAGGCCCTCAAAAATGGCGTCTAGGTGACAGCTTTCTTTGGGTGTAGGAGATGTTTGCTTTGGTGAAGAGACAGAGAGAGAAAGAGAGAGAGAGAGAGAGAGAGTGTTTAAGCTGGGATCAAACCCACAAACTTCAGGTTCAGATATGGAGCTGGAACCCCATAATGGGCCTTTGATGTCAGAAACAGAGGATTCACATTCTTGTTAGTTTCCAAATTCAGTTACACTTGAACAAAATGGGCCCTTTGATTGTTGAGACCCATGGGGCAAAAAAAAAAAAAATCAGGGGTCAGAATGCTCAATTTTATTGGAACCAAATTCAATCTAAGCACTACATTGAACTCTGCTGAATTCTAGCAAAACCAGTAGCTGGTTAGAGACTTGGCCATGATTTGATAACAAAATTTTGAATCAAGCATAACAACCAGATTTGGAGCAAGAATTCTTCTAAATTTTTTTTCTAATCGGTTCCTCCAAAATTTGATGATTTGTTCGAAGTACCACCCAAAGTTATGCAGCATTTGAAGTATAGATGAATTTTAAGAAATGGTTAATTCATGAGAGGATGTAATACCATTACATTGAATTGTTTGCGCCCACCCTCCCTCCCTCTCCCTCCCCATTCATTCACAAATAAATTCCACCTAAAATGTTTGTTAGGAATAACTTATTTTTCAGCAAAATCAGCTGGTTGACAATCCTTAATTAGCCATCTTTCCCTTCATTTACCCACTCAATTATAATGTTCTGTGCATGTAATGCACTATAAACCTACTCCCTCAAGTAAAAGACCTGATTAGGAATATTTACTTGATCTAAAATTTTGAGATCCCCTTTACAATCACATTATGAGTATTTTCCAACGATTAGATTTTGAGTTTCTTTATACTTATTTATTATCCAAAATTTGGACAGTCTATTCTATAGTAGGATGCTATCATGCTACTGTTTTCATCCACATGTAAAGAACTTCTTCCTTTTTCAACTTTTTGGTTGATCGCTAAGTTGAAGAGATTACATCTCGTAAAAATTTTGATAGAAGGGGGTTTTTGGATAGAACTAAATAGGAAATAAAATTAATAGTACAAAGTGATAATGAAATTGCTATAAATGGTTGGACTACTTATTGTATTTTATTACATTTTGGGAGGTCTACACCTTTCTTCTTTCTTGATCTATTGTGGATGACCTAATACACTCTCATGCAATAAACTAATATCCGCGCCAACACCCATCCCCCCACAGGGGAGCAAAACAAAAAAATTACATATTCTTCAATGTATGGATTAAATTGGTTAATTACTGGGAATCTAGATTGATAAATTCCAGCTGGTACCAAACACAGGTTTCCAAGCACCCTCTAAATGTCAGGCAGATTAGTAAACATAGCATTTTCCAGTAAAAGAAGTTAGATCATCCAACTTCATAGGGAGAGGGAACTTCCATGTTCTAGATAATAGCATGCTTCCAATTGTCAAACAGGTCCTTAATGTTACAATCCCCAAGAGGTCGAAAAATATTGAATAAGGGAATAATTAGTAGCAAAACTAATTCAGATAATGTGATAGGAGCACAATAGACACTTTTGTCAAAAGAAATGCATTTACATAAATGGACATGACATTCAAGCATCAAGATGGTGGAAGGTGGAGGCGTAGCCAACCACATATATTAGACTTCCTATGTTTTTCAAAATGAAGGGAAGACTTTTGGACCAAATCGCCCTTTGTCATCCATCAAGGTAGTACTATACTCTATATGTAGTGACGTACAGCCTATACCTGCACCAACCAAGACTTATGATCAAAGGGGTAGCTGCCACTACCTGCCCTCTATCATACCTCCATTTACCCATGGACATATCTCCTTATCATGAGCTTTTTCTCAATTCGAATGCCCATGTGCTTGCTTGGTGCAGGAAGGTCTATTTAAGGTTTTTTTTTTTTTTTGAGAATAGTCTATTTAAGGTTTTAATAAGGTTAAAAATGTAAAAAGAATTATTGTCCTTCATAAGCAGGATTCCGTTGTATGTCCTAAGGTATGGCTCATAATATTAAAGGCAACACTTTGTAGTATCTCGGTCTACTTCTGGTCTTTGTCTCATATTCCAATAGGGGTGACAATAAAAAGCTAGAGACAAATAGATGACTCAAAGGAAGTCCTAAGCAAAGTAATCATAAATAGTGGCAGTTTCATTAATTTGAATGTGAGGTTTCCAAGCACAACGTGAGGAGACGCTCGGTTGTTAAGAGACTTGAATTGGCAAAACAGGATCCTTTCGGGCACGTGGTAATAAGTAGTATTAACACTTTGGAGGGGAACTGAGTTACTGAGTAGACAGCGGTCTATAGTGATTGGAGGCGAATACAGTAGGAGCATTGATGGTGGAGTTTAGGGGGCTGGAAGTGGATTGTGAAATATTTCAAGGATATTGAGGGGCATTGTATTTATAGGGGCACCTAGGAGATGGTAGTACCATTCGGTTCTGTTTGATATCTGATGTGGCAGTTGTGTAAGCATATTAGAACAAAACAAGGTGCATTGGTCAAGTATTTCAAGGTTAGGGAGTACGGAAGCTGGAAACCTCTTGTTTCACTTCTCAAGAAAAACTCCTCCTTGTTATGTGATCCTTATCTTGGTATCTTACTAACTCATAAAGATGGCATTGATAGTATAGATAGTATGGTTTCTTCTGTAACAGCTAACAAAGCATGGAAATCCATGGATGCAGTCCTCTTCTTTTACTCACAATGCTCTCAACGTTGGGCTCCAACAAATTTTCTCTTGTTTGGTAAGCTCCTAATAACTTACCCTCGCTCTCCAGCCCCATCAAGGTACCTGATTTCTTTCAGAATAAATTCATGTAATACCTCCTTTTAGCATATTTTGATATTCTCCTTAACATCTTAAGTTCTCTATAAAATTTGAGTATGGTTCCTTCATGAGCAGAAAATTTTGATCACTAGTTTTACACAATTTCTCTGAGATAAGGTTGTTCCAACATGTCCTATTGAACAATTCTAGGACACACAATATGTGAAAGACTTTTACATGACAAGTTAATCCACCTAAAAGAACAAAACATTATGTAATGTCCAAAAAAACAGTATCGTGTATTACATACACATATACACATGTATGTATATTTAAATAATTATTTATCAAATTGATTCAAAGTAATTGCTGCACATAAGACCATACTAAAAAGCTCGACAGGTCTAGATTACTACATAAAGTGAAATGAAAATACCAATCTTCATTTCTATAAGTTTGTATTCTGAGGACAAATAAACTTTTTTTTTTCTTCACATTCTAGCTAAAATAATACATCAAATGAGAATATTGATGCTTAACTTGTAGCCGTGGAAGTTTTCCATATTATTGGTAATTACGCATTTCAAATATACCAAGCTGCCATTCATATGTAAGACATAAAAACTTAAATGATGCTTGTATCATAGATCAAAAACAATGGTCTAGATCATGTTATGCAAATGGTTACCAGCAGTTTTTAAAACTCAGGGAGTCCAACTTGGACTCACCCCAGTTACAGCGCTCAGCAGGGAGGGGTCTCGAGCCCAAAACTCCCCAACTCAGGGGTATGTATAAGTGATATATAAATCAGTAAAATGCGTTTATCATTGATATAAACATTGACTAAATCAGTTGTACTTGACTTATATTTATTCTCTGTATAAGTTTTTATGATTTTGTGATTTTTAATGGTTTTTTGTACTTATTTATTCTCTGTATACGTTTTTATGATTTTGTGATTTTTAATGGTTTTTTATTTTTCTCATTTTTGTGAGAAAATGATCGTTAACAATTTTTTTATTTTTTTACCTTTTGAAGAAAAAAAATCTCGTCATTTATTATACTTTTTCTGTTGTTCTGTTTTCATTTCATTACCAATTTTAGGACTTTTTCCTTTTTCAGATTTTTTGGCTATTTGGTCCGCTCGCACGGACTCAGGCGAGCGACTAGAACTCACGTGAGTTCCTCAGCCAGGCCAAGGACCAAGATCTGAGCCCAAGCTGAGTTTAAAAGCAAAGGTCACAAAAGGGAATTTGTAGTGATGAACTCGTAACTAGATAACCTAATGTGGAAACATACCTTTGGAAGGGGAAGTTGAATAAGAATGCCATGAACTGTAGGATCAACATTGAAACGTGATACAGCAGTGAGAACTTCTTCTTCTGAAGAATCTTCAGGTAAATGAACCTCTTGAGATGTAATGCCCACAGCTTCACAAGCTTTCTTCTTATTTCGAACATAAGTTTGAGAATCCGGTCTTGAACCAACTAAAATGACAGCCAACCCTGGAACTATGCCAAGTGCATCTTTCACCCTAGATACTTCAACTGCAATTTCATTTCTAATTTGCTTTGCAATTGACTTTCCATCAATAACTATAGCAACGGGTTCGCTTGCCACTATAAAATACAAGGAAATTAATTATATCCAATGGTCCAAATTGAGTCTAATCACAAAATATGCATCCAAAACCACACACTCACAAAATGTGAGCATAAACTTGTATGTGGAGAGAGAGAAGGAAAGAAGCAAAACATGCCATCAACAATAATTTGGGAAACAGCAATTCCATGGTTAATCATGTTCAATACATTCGTTAGGACAATATGTTATGTACCCTAAATATACAACAAAAACATAAATGTGTTTAACACATAAACAAAATTTTGTGGCAAATGTCGAGGGAATATTAATCAACCTGCATGGTTAATCATGTTAAATACATTCATTAAGCCAATATGTCATATGCCTTATAAATTAGAGCAAAACAACAACTGTATTCACCACATTAACAAAATTCTGTGAGTATATCTTTCTGTGGCAAATTAATTCAGGCACATTTTGTTCAAAACCTGCAGGAATAAACAAGAATCAAAAGGCAAGATATAAAGCAAAAGAAAATAGTAATGAAATTAAACTCACTTAGTGCCGGTTCTATTAATTAGAGGTAAATCGGTCGATATCTGCCAATCCAAATGGTATACAAGTCAAAACCTCCATAGTCTATTCCTAAAATGAGAGAACAAGTATATGAAGAGGTTCGATGGCTTATTTGACTTAATCTTCTTATTTTACGTCACCACCCACAATACAACTACAAACTCCTAAATAGAACAATCACCTCAATCATGTATATACAATAGATTGAAACGTTTATACGAACAAACCGATCAAAAATCTAGTACAACATAGAAAAATTTCTGTTAGTGATATTGAGAACACATTAAACAAACTAACCCAATCCAATGATCTACCACAAGGTACAAAACTTTCCTTCAGAGGTATTGAGAACTCAATAACTGCTTTAATTGTAATTATCATAACAAAACTACAGTTTTAACAATGCCATGCAAAAACTAAATTTTCTAGTACATGAAAAAATTTACAGTTGGTCAGTATGTACATGTACAAGCGATCCAGCTCACACGTTGACAGGTAAACAACATGCCCATGTTTTCCATAAGAAACTTAATGTAATTTGCTCCTGTATATATGTTTGGTGGTATTAAAAATGTCGGACTTGCAGTTTAGCTTCAAACAAGCTCATAAATTTGCAGAATGAAATTAATAAAAAAATAAAAAAAAATAAAAAAAAAAGAGAGACAGAAATAAAAATGAACAGTATCGTCAGAAAACCCAAATTTGTCACTCATTCCCATTTAGAAACACGCATTTCAGTATTTTTCCTGCCAAGGAACTGCAAGCATTAACCAGTACAATCAATGTGTCAATGCAATCACAAGAAATAGAACAGCAGAAATCCAAAGTAAATACAAACTTCAAAACAAAAAACATTCCAGTAAAGTAAAAACTCACAGCTAGCATCTTGGACGGCCATAATGGGGTTGACACATATTTCATGCAATTTCAACCCAATAGAAGGTGAGAGTGAAGCATGCCTCTCTGGAAGAAAGGAATGATAAGGAGCAGTAGAGCTTGAGCGGAAGAATTGCAGACGAGAAGCTTTAATAGACGAATGCTTGGGTGAATGAAAATACAGTGAGTTTGCTGCGGATTTAAAAGTTAGAGACTCCATTGGAAGTGTCTCAGCGAAGAAGAGCAGTTGATTTTTGGGTTTCTAGAAACCGCTGGCCTTCCATGCGGAGGCAGTAGCTTTTAGGGTTTTTGGGAAGTAAATTCCTCTGCAACTCTAACGATTGATTTAGGCGCCAATTTAGGGAAACGAGAGCTAAGGGTTTCTTAATGTTTTCGAATGTAAGTGTTGACGGCCTGACGAGGGGCTCCACGGATGGAAATGGACCGCAAAAATAAAAGCTAAAAGATCCTCTACTAGCGCGGGATTATAATGTTCATACACCACTTCGGGTAAAACACCACCTATCGCTAATTTTAGGACCCCAAATTTTGAGATCCTAGCCTTTTCAACCATAGATTAACCTCAATAGAAGAATTTTTTTAAGGATACGGTTTCTATGAGTTCATGTAGAAATAAGTCACCTCCTAGACTTAATTTATCGGAAAATTATCATTAATATACCTATATTTTATTATAATCAGAAAAAAAAAAAAAGTTCAATTTTTCAAAACCTCACCTACAACCTTTCTCAATAATTTCAGCTTTTTTCGGACCAAAATAACTTTCACAGTAGTCTTTTTACTATAATACATATTAAGCTTTATGATAATTAAAATACCATAATAAATTGAAAAAGTATTACGGTAATTAAAATACCGTAATACTTTAAAGTAGTATTACGATATTTTAATTATAGTCATCTATAATACATTCTTTCCAGCATTCTTATTCCCCTCATGCTCTCCCACATGCTCTCTCTCTCTAAAATACCTTAATACCTTTACGGCATTCTTATTACCGTAAGTCAAGCACATAGAGACAAAGAGGGATGAATAGAAAGAGATGCAGATCCAACAGAGATAGAGAGGAGAGGCCATCATATTCATTGGCAAATCCTTCACCACAAAGTACCCAATACGTTGAATATATTATGTAATATACATCCACAACAAATTTATTGAGATTAAAAACAGATCCACCACAAAAATGTTCCCAAAAATAGATAAAACCAAAGGAACATAGTGAAATAAAGACCATGTGATCTTTTGCCAGGTAAATACAACTTTTTTTTTAATAATAATCACCTTTTATAATTTTGACAACAAGATCACTAATAGATGGTCTTATTACAAACAATAGAAATTCCAAAAAATAAATAACACATCAATAAAATAAATCTCAACTACTTGATGTCATTCATACAACCTAATATTGTGCTTGAGAATATAAAATAAAAGAACAAACAAATAAAAAAAAAGATGTCGGGGATTACCTAAACCGGGCTTTTTATACCCCACACCGAGTCACCACATCCAATGGCTTGGGATCGTTAGTCTGGCTTCAATCTCAAAACGGGATAGCTGATTTCGATCAAACTAGATAATCACCCCTTAAAATATCTATTAAACCTTAACCCCCAAAATTAACTTAGGCCCCCCTCTAATTTTTCCAACCCTTAAAATTAACTTAGGTCTAGAGAGAAGAGAGAGTGATGTGTACCCCTCTAAGAGAGAGAGAGGTGAGAGAAAGAGGTTGTGTATGGAGATTGGGGGAGAGCACCCCCATTTATTATAGATATTTAAGTTTAGAGTTTTTTAGGGTTTTCTCATAATTTGCCTCTTTCATGAGATTGAATCTAGACCGTTGATCAAGGTGACTTGTGGGGTGAGAGATCTGAGCCAACCATTCTATAAATGGGTTATCAACATTATGAAAGGTGCTTGGGCCATTATCCTCGTTTCCTTAAACCATTTTCTCATCAATATAAAATGAATATCATGCATTCCATAAATTTGCATGATCTATGTCACACATTCCACAAGGATATGTCAATAATTATCAAACAAATAAATACTACCAAATAAAATAAGATCAATATTTCCCTTCCAAGATTTGACCACATGCCACAAACTAGAGTTACTAGTTAACAAACTTGAACACAAAGCAACAAGAGAATCCAAGGGGTGGGGCGTGCCACGCCTTTGT